TATTTACATTAGGGAAACTATTCGGTATTCACACATGCGAGATTGATTTATTTCACTTATGAGTATGGTCTCAAGCTGCGCCCATTTATTGATAAATATCTCAATGTGATCCTTCTTTATAGCTGAATAATACTCCATTGTATAGAAATACCACAACTTTTTTATCCATTCCTCAGTTGATGGGCACTTGGGTTGTTTCCAAGATCTGGCGATTACAAATTGTGCTGCTATAAACATAGGTGCACATATATCACTGTGGTATGATGCTTTCAGTTCTTCTGGGAATATGCCTAGAAGTGGAATAGCTGGAATAAATGGGATTTCCAGTCCCAACTTTTTGAGAAATCTCCAGACAGATCTCCACAAAGGCTGTACCAGTCTACACTCCCACCAGCAGTGCAGGAGAGTTCCTTTTTCCCCACAGCCTCTCCAGCATTTGTTGTCGGTTTTCTTGATCCTGGCCATTCTTTCAGGAGTGAGATGGTATCTCAGTGTGGTTTTAATTTGCATTTCTCTAATGACCAATGATGATGAGCATTTTTTCATGTATTTATTTGCCATTTGCATTCTTCATCTGAGAATTGCATATTCATCTCAGATGCCCATTTTTGGATTGGATCTTTGAATTTCGGAGGTCTGAGTTTCTTTAATTCTTTATATGTTTTAGACAAGAGGCCCTTGTCTGAGAGAGAGTTCACTAAAATCTTTTCCCAGTTTGTGGGTTTTCTTTTCACTATGCTGGAGATTTCTTTTGACATGCAGAAACTTTTTAATAAGAAGTGGTCCCAGTTATTGATTCTGGGAAGTATTTCCCGTGCGGTTTGAGTCCTGTTCATGAATTCTTTACCTACTCCTATGTCTCCAAGGTTTCTACCTATTTTGTCTTCCAATAGATTTAGTGTTTCTGTTTTAATATTCAGATCTTTGACCCATTTAGATTTTAATTTAGTACATGGTGATAGACATGGGTCTAGCTTTAGTTTTCGGCAAATGGAGAGCCAGTTTTTCCAGCACCATTTATTAAAGAGACTGTCGTTCTTCCAGTGAACCTGCTTGGCTCCCTTATCAAAAATAAGGTGGTTGAGTGTGTTCGTAGTTGTGGTTATATCTTCTAATCTATTCCACTGATCTTCAGCTCTGTTTTGATTCCAATACCATGTTGATTTTACTACTGTTGCTTTGTAGTATAACTTCAAGTCAGGGATTGTGATGCCTCCTGCTTTGTCTTTGCTGCTTAGAATTGCCTTTGCGATTCTAGGTCTCTTCTGGTTCCAGATGAAATTTAGGAGTGATTTCTCTAGATCTATAAGGTATGTTGATGGTATTTCTATTGGGATTGCATTGAATCTGTATAACAGTTTTGGGAGAATGGCCATTTTCACAATGTTTGTTCTTCCTATCCATGAGCAAGGGATGTCTTTCCATTTTCTGAGATCATCTTCAATTTCCTTTTTCAGTGTATTATAATTTTCACTGTATAAGTCTTTTACTTCTTTCGTAAGAGTAATTCCTAAATATTTCATTTTTTTGCTTGCTAATGTGAATAGTCCAGTTTCTCTTATTTCCCTCTCTGTAATTTTGTTGTTCGTGTATAGGAATGCTATTGATTTCTGAGTATTGATTTTGTATCCAGCCACATTACTGAATTTATTTATTGTATCTAAGAGTATTTCAATGGAGTTTAGGGGGTCTTCTATGTAGAGTATCATGTCATCTGCAAACAATGATAATTTAACTTCTTCTTTTCCTATCTTTACCCCTTTTATTTTTCTCTCTTGCCTAATTGCTCTGGCTAGTACTTCCAGTACTATATTAAATAGGAGTGGTGATAAAGGACATCCTTGTTTTGTACCCAATTTTAAAGTAAAGGCTTTCAATTTTTGGCCATTTAGTATGATGCTGGCTGTTGGTTTGTCATAAATGGCCTTTATTATATTGAGGTAAAGACCATTTATTCCAATTTTCTGTAAAGTTCTTATCATAAATAAGTGTTGGACCTTATCAAAGGCTTTTTCTGCATCTATAGAGATGATCATGTGATTCTTATTTTTGGCTTTATTGATATGATGGATTACATTTATTGATTTGCGTATGTTGAACCATCCTTGCATTCCTGGGATGAATCCCACTTGGTCATGGTGTATAATCTTCTTGATGATTTGCTGGATCCTATTTGCCAATATTTTATTGAGGATTTTTGCATCTGTGTTCATTAGGGAGATCGGTCTATAGTTCTCTTTTATAGTTGGGTCTTTCTCAGGTTTTGGTACTAGAGTAATATTTGCTTCCAGGAATGACTTAGGAAGGATTGCTTCCCTTTCAATTTCATTGAATAGTTTGAGGAGTGTCGGCATTAGGTCTTCTTTATATTTCTTGTAGAATTCTGCAGTGAATCCATCTGGGCCTGGGCTCTTCTTGGTGGGCAAGGACCCAATTACATTCTCAATTTCATTAGCAGAGATTGGGTTATTCAACAGTTTTATATCCTCTTGATCTAGCTTTGGTACTTCATATGCTTCTAAGAATCTGTCTATTTCTTCTGTGTTATCAAACTTTTGAGAGTAGAGGTTTTCGAAATAGGTGTTGATGATCCTCTGTATTTCTATTGGGTCTGTAGTGATTTCTCCTTTTTCATTTCTTATTGCATGAATTTGAGCTTTTTCTTTCCTTTTTTTAATAAGGTTGGCTAGGGGCTTATCGATTTTATTTATTCTTTCAAAGAACCAACTCTTTGATTCGTTGATTCTTTGGATTGTTTTCTTAGTCTCTATTGCATTGATTTCTGCTCTGATTTGTATAATTTCCTCTCTTCTGTTGGCTTTGGGCTTGACTTGCTCTTCTTTTTCTAGCTGTTTGAGGTGTAGCATCAAGTTATTTATTTGTATTCGTTCTGTTTTCCTGATGTGGGAACTCAGTGCAATAAATTTTCCTCTCAGAACGGCTTTCATTGCATCCCACAGATTCCGGTAAGTTGTATCTGCATTTTCATTTTCTTTTAGGTATTGTTTAATTTCTTCTTTAATTTCTTCTGTGACCCACTGATTACTCAAGAGTGTGTTATTTAGTTTCCATGTGTTTGTGGAATTTTTGCAGTATCCTTTGTCATTAATTTCTAATTTCAGAGCGCTATGATCCGATAATATGCAAGGGATGATTTCAACTCTTTTGCATTTGCTTAAATATGTTCTGTGAGCTAATATATGGTCTATTTTAGAAAATGATCCATGTACTGCTGAGAAGAATGTGTATTCTGATGTTGTTGGGTGGAACATTCTGTATATGTCTATCAAACCCATTTGTTCGCAGGTGTGATTCAGTTCTGTTATTTCTTTGCTCATTTTCTGTCTGGTTGATCTGTCCCTTGGTGTCAGTGGTGTATTAAGGTCTCCTGTTACAATTGTGTTACTGATAATTTGAGTTTTCATTTCTGTTAATAATTGTTTTATATAACTGGGTGCTCTGGAGTTTGGTGCGTATATATTTAAGATAGTTATCTCTTCCTCTTGGAGTTTTCCCCTTACGAGTATGTAGTGACCTTCTTTGTCCTTTATGGTCATTGTTGGTTTAAAGTTCACGTTGTCTGCAAACAGAATGGCTACTCCTGCCTTTTTTTGGATTCCTGCTGCATGAAGAATTGTTTTCCATCCTTTGACTTTCAGTCTCTGTTTTTCTTTTCTATTTGTATGACTCATTTTCTTATTTGTTTCATTATGCCATTTATTTTATCTTTTCCCCAGTCCTTTTTTAAGCTTATTATACTATCAAATTCATCTTTATTAATGTGTGTTTCTTGTTCACTCTGCATTATTTTGACCCTTCTATTTTTATGGTTGATACATTTGTTAAATTTAATTTGTTTTTAGCATATTTCTATGTCTTGCTGAGTACTGATGGAAAGACAAGGCTTACCACAACCATAAATTCCCTGTCTAACTGCTTTGGACCAGTGAGAGAAATTCTCTGAGAATTCTCTTGTTATATTAGTGTATTCTGTTCCTGTGACAAACGAGGCTCCTTTCCTGTTTTCAAGTCACTCCTGGAATCTGATAAAATAAGATTCATAAATTGGGTGCTCAGCTGTGCCCACTGGATTGACGTGGAACATGTGATAGAACCTAGTGCATCTGTGGCCAGGATCATTTCTAATGTTCCTCAAGGGAAATTTCCTTTGAGTGTAATACAGGTTAAGTTTACATTTGAAAACTGAAAAATTGTTCTATTAATGTTATTTTGTCTCTGGGGCATGAACCTCCCTCAGTTCCTCTTTAAAATCCGAGTAGCCAGTCCTTCTTGGCCTGCCCTGTGGATTTCTCTTCATCTCTTTGCTTTGCACCCTGTGTTACCTCAGGGTCCCAGGCTGTGTTCATCTGTTTACACTCTCCTTGTTCTTTGTAGTTGTTCTGGGTAGCTCAGAGCAGTTCCCTGATCCCCAGAATCCCTCCTGTGCCTCTGGGTTAGGAAAGTGTGAGCGTGTGGCTGGCAGCTCCTCAGGATTTTAAGCTGCTCCCTTCCAAGTGCTCAGGCCCCACTGCCTCTTCTTGCTGCTTCCCTTCAGCTCCCCTTGTCTCTCAACAGATGGTTTCAAATTCTCCAGTTGCTCAGGTTCAACCACTGGAACAGTTGCCCTGAATTTCACCTTGTTCTCATACAGCACATCCAGAAAGACAAAGAAGTTTAAGTGTTTTGCCTTTAAAGTACAGTCATCATCTGCCTCCTTTTCACTGCAGCATCTGGTGGGTCAAGGGTGTGCACAAGGAAGACCTCAGAGTGCACAGTTTCCTTCTCTCTCTCTTCCATGACACAGGGCCTTGCTGCTCTGCTGTCTTCCTCACTCTCAGTCCTGGACAGAGGCCTCAGCTGCCTCTTGCTGCTCTGCTTCTTCAGCCTCTTCCTCTCAAAGGGAGCAGGCTGTGCTGTGCTGTTACCTAGCAGCAGTGCAGAAGGGCAGCTGGGTCTCCCCTGCCAGGGAGGTTTGTGTTCGGGGCTGTAGCACTGTGGGAGGAGCATGTGTACCTTGGTAACAGTAATAAACTCCAGCGTCTTCAGCCTCCAGCCTGCTGATTTTGAGAGTGAAATCTGTCCCTGACCCACTGCCACTGAACCTGTCAGGGACCCAGGATTCCCGATTGGAAACCTGATAAATCATGAGCCGAGGAGCCTGGCCTGGCTTCTGCACAAGCCAACTCAAGTAAGTTTTTCCATTACTATGCAGGAGGCTCTGACTGGCCCTGCAGGAGATGGAGGCTGGCTCTCCAGGGGCGATGGACAGAGAGCGTGCGGTCTGGGTCATCACAACATCTCCCGTGGATCCTAAAAAGATAAAGGAGAAATTTGAGATCACTTGCAAGTATCTTGAGCCATTTTCACTGTTTTCCCTTTTTTCTATATAGCAGTCTAAATTATTTTTGTCATTCTGATTTGTGTACAAAAGCATTCTACTTGAAGAATGGGGCCCTAGACTAGCAGTCCCAAGGGAACTCATAGAGTTCTCCTGCAGCATCTCTGTGTTTTTTGTGTAAAATCATCAGCTAAGTACAGAGGTCCTCGTTCCCTAGGAATTCTCCTCACCCTGCAGACCAGATCCTCCCCTCTTCATGCTGCAAACCAGGCCATGTCACTATGTTCTAAACACATCTGGGCAACAAGGGTATCCAGAGCCCACCTCTTGCCCCATCTCTCCCTAAGCTCCAGGTGTCCTTACCAGGCAGGCAGAGCATCAGCAGCCCCAGGAGCTGAGCAGGGAGCCTCATGTTGAGAAGCTGGACTCAAGAGTCCTGATTCCCCAGGGCGAGGTTGCAGAGAAGCTCTTATCTCAGACTGGCATGGGCAGTTCCCCTCGGAGGAGCAAGATGCAAATGCCCTGATGGGTGCAGTGGTGTGGAAAGAGTGAAGAGGCAGGCGGGGGCCTCTCCTGGGAGCTGGTGATAGAAACTCTCCTCTGTGTTTGAAGGGAACCCATACATAGAAAGTCCCTGCTGTCTGTAGTAGTGGGCATGAGGACTGCAGGGTGAAAGTCTGCACCTGTGACAGGAGCATGAGCACCATGTTGAATACGGAGGCTAAACAGGATAAAAACAGTCATGTTGAAAGAATTTACACGTTGTTTTCTGACATATACCTAATAGCCTCTATAAATCAAGTGGAAATTTTGAAGAAATTATGCCTTCTGTATTGAATATAAAATTCTTCTTTATTGTGTTTTAAAAATTTTTGAATGATCTGTTGTGTTTATCTCCATTGAGATTTATTTGTGAAATTATTTACATTTAGTATAAAATTTAATACATGTATTTGTTTCTCAAATATGAATCTGTATACAAATGTGTGGATGTGTCTATGCCACACACACACATAAGATTAATAAAAATACTTCTTAAGGCAAAAATTCCCCTGAAGTCCTGTGTGGATGGAGGAGGTATAACTTCATAGCTGTCTTTCTAAGTGGTCATAAAAGTCCTTGTCGTCATGTGTTTTATTGTCCTAGGGCTGTGAAGCCGCAGTGCTTGTGTGAAAAGGAGCCCGTGTGTGAGGACATCAGGGCGACCCCAGGCTTCTTCCTGTCTCTGTGCAGTGTGAGTTAGTGAGCAGCTCAGGCCAGGATGATCCTGGGAGCGGTGCTGGGTCTGATCTGCTGCGGGATTTCAATTTCAGATTTCTTCCTCCAAGCCGGGAGATAAGCCTGGTGTTGAAGACCTGAAGTTCGTGGTATTTTTAAAATGACAGTCAGAGAATTCTGGCTCATGCCCTCAGAAGTGTGGAAACTTATTGGAAAAATAGATATTTCTTCTTGTTTGCTCTCATTTAAAATACAATGCTCAAAACGTTTCTCCTGCCCTTCTCCTCCATCTCCTTCTTTGCCTTTTCCACTCCTGCCCTTGGGTTGAACCCATAATCTTCTCACTAATCTGTATCACAGCGTCTTTGTCTATTATTTTTTTGTCTTATGAGACAGAGTAATCTTAAGTCACTAATTTTGTCAGTTTAGGCCAACACTTGCCATCCTCTTGCCTCAGGCTCCCTGAATGCTGGGATGACAGGCTGTGTCATCCTGCTTGTGTCTTTGTCTTCTGAGTGTTTACATTCTCTGTAAACACTTGGAAAGGTTGGTGTGACTTTGTGTTTGACATTTCTAGGTTCTGTTTTGTTGTTTTTGAAATGTTATGCGTTTTGATTAGTACATGTTTGCAATACATAATGATTGCATTTATTGTGTGGGGTAGATACATGTACATGGCATACCTTAGTGTATTTCCCTTCGCCTCACTTTTAGATTCTATTCTTTATCTATCTAGCCTGAATTAACAGCAGTGAGTAACATGACAGAAAAAAAGGGTTGAGTTCATGGGAACAGGCACAGAGCAGGGTTTTAAAGTTTCACAAAAATATAGAGAAGATATGAGAAATTGATGGAAAATAATGGGCACGTTGATTCAGCTTTCATATTATTGTCCTTGGAAATTCAGCAGTCCATTAGCCCATGTACAATTTGGGTGTGTTACAGTAGGGTACGGCAGCAATGTTAGATCAAATTTGAATCAGATTTTAAGAATTTGTAGTACATCTAGTGAATGATATAAAAGGGGAGTTCGTATTAATGAAATCAATACTCTGTTGTCAAAAATGTGCTAATGCTTTAAAATTTCAAGATGAGTTATAAATTTATATTGCTTATAAAGTACCATGAAATATAAATTTAATTTGTTGATTAATGATTTTTTGTTAGTTTCACTTTTCTACATAATACACTTTGATTTCTTCAATATGGTTTCCAACTCCAATTCTGGTGCAGACCATTTGCTTTGTGTAATTTCTACTCTTTTCATTTATACTTAAAATATTGATTTTTTGTCATCTTTTTGATCATGCAATTTATGCTGGTCTTGAATTTACTTTGTAGCCCAGGCTGTCCTTGAACATGCAGCAATCCTCCTGCCTTAGCTTCCTGAGTCCTGGGGTACAGCGACTTGGCACCATGCCTCACTGAATTATTTTTGAACTGCTATAGAATCTCTGACTGTGTGGTCTCTGATCCTTACAATGTTATTTGTAAATGTTTTTACATTGTGAGTTATTGGTGAAAGATATTGACTAATTCCTCTCATTGCTTTATTTTTGTTCTTGATTTCTGTATTTTTTCCTTTTGATGAACTTCTTTTTACAGTGCTGGTATGGTGGTCCTGAATTTCTTAAAGGGCTATTTGTCATGAAACTTCTTAATGTTTTCCTCAATTTGGAAAGGTATGTTTGTACAATATTATAATGTACAGTGAAGATTTTCTTTTGGACTTGATGAATTCCTACTAGTCCACCTGTCTAAAACCAAAGTCCATGTTGCATGCTTGTGATTTGATTTATGTTCCAACTTTCATAAAATGCCAGGAATTTGCGAGGCACACAAGGAGCCTGTGAAGTCACCCTCATTCTCCTCCCCTGTGTATTCAGGCTTCACTGGAGCACAGGTCCTTGTTACTCATGACCTCTTCCCACTCAGTCTTCTCTACTGACTCTGTAGACTCTGGGTCATCTGATTTGTTGCCGTGTTTGTCTTGTGAAGGTCATTACAATGGAGAAGGTTATTAATGAATTGTGCTTGGTAGGCAGCTGAGGTTCCCAAGGGATACAGACCTTAGTCACAATTTGCTCCTCTCAAGGCATCATCGTCTTTGTCTTCCACAACCTCAAGCAACTGGCTGTGCTTTTCCCCAGGCAAGTAGCACATGAGGGCAGCAGTCCACCCCAAGCAGGGAGGTTTATGTTGAGATTCTAACAGTGCGGGAAGAGCTTGTGGACCTTCATGCAGTAATAAATTCCAACATCCTCAGCTTCCACCCTGCTGATTTTGAGTGGGAAATGTATGCCTGACTCACTGCCACTGGATATTTTGAGACATAAAGGTGTTTCTTAAAATGTTATAAATCATACGCGATGGAGGGCACCCTGGCATCTGTATAAGTGAATTGAGGAGATGTTTGCCTCCTAGATCAGGAGGCTTTGATTTGATCTGCAGGAGATGGAGGCTGAGTCTCCAGTGGTGATGGACAGACAGAGTAGATTCTGGCTCATCTCAACAACTCAGTGTATCCCAAAATAATGAAGAAGGAGGATCAGTACATTTTTATGATTTTCTATTTTTATAAGTTGCAAACTGCATTTTTAATTTTGATGTATAAAGAAAACTATTCAAATTTTAAAAGTTAGGTAAATTTTGGTGCATTTTAAGTATACATGGTGATGCAACTTCATAGGGAACTGGCTCCAGTACATGATATAGGTTGATTCCTTTATCTCCATTCCTCTCTACTCTCCTCAGTCCTTGATCCCCTCCTTATTTACAAAACCTTTGTTTCCATTTTTCCTTCTTTTATCATTTTTTCTTCTGTCTTTCCGTACCCTAGTTCCCTTTCCCATTTGAACATTTTCTTACTATTTCACATCTGTTATGCCTTTTGATACTCACTCTTTTAAGCTCTCACAGTGGAGAAACAATGTGGTATGTACACTTGTGATGAGCATTTGTGTTGCTTCTAAGACTTGGTTAATACGAACCAGGCTGCTCTTCACAGTGAAGGTGCCAGTCTCATATTTGTAAAACCTTCCATGTCCTTGGAGCCCCTGGTACCTGGGACAGACTAGGATGAGGCCAGTGAGTCATTTGCCTTGGGTGCAAAAATGAAGAAATTGCCCACATCTGTGTCACTTGTATGATTAACTTCAAAGCATCTAAAGTTGTGCAAAGACCATCTAATAGTAAAAAAAAAATCAGAATTGTGGTGGAAACAAGATCTTGTGAACAAATAAAAATGGGGATTGTGGCAATATATGATATTGCTAGGCCTATTTGGTTGGTGATTTTGGTCGTGTTTCTGCCACGAGTTGCGAGCAGTGGCTGGGTTGAAAGTGGCATTGCAAGTGTCTATTGCAAGGTTATTAGACTCGAAGACACTTGATGTCTGTAACATGGAGAATGGCTTGTGTGCTGTTCTTGGCTGGGACAAGGGTGTGTGCCGGGTTTAATTCTAAAGACTGCAAGAGCCCTGGATCATGTTAGGAGGACGATGGAAATGATGTTTCACCAGTGTTCTATATGAGCCAGTTTTCAATAAATAAAATGAAAATAACAGACACACTAAATTCATGGAGCTTCCCGAGATATCTGTGGCAGTTCTGCTGGAGTTGAATTAGGTCACACTGTTGTAAGCAAAATATTGCAAAAAACAGTGTCACTGGGCACTTGCAGGGCATAAAGCTGACCAGAAGAGGGTAGCACATACACACTTCTGTAGGTGAAGCCTTCAGTTTGTTCCTTCTGCTCAAGGTGCTCTGATCCCACAAGTGAAACTTTTTGGTTGGTTTTATAGCAAGGATCCCCAAGGGAAATGTCCTTTGCATGTAATACAGATAAAGTTTACTGTTGAAAACAAAAGTCGTTTTATTAATGTTATTTTGTCTCTGGTCCATGAATTTCTCTCAGTTTCACTCATTCTTTCTTGCCATTTTTATCTTAGTAGCCAGTCCTTCTTGGCCTCCCTCGTGGATTTCTCTTCATATCATTGCTTTCCACACTGTGTTGCCTTCAGGGTCCCAGTCTGCTTTCATCTGTTTCTGCTCGTCTGTCCTTCTGAGTTCCTCCTCACGTCTCAGCACAGGTCCCTGATCTCCAGAATCCCTCCTGTGTCTCTGGGTTAGGACATCACCAGCTGGAGTCATGGGACATCTCGAAATTCTCTCCTGCTCCCTCCCATGTCCTCAGTCCCCCGCCACTCCTTGCTGCTTCCCTTCCACACCCCTGATCTCACAATACATGGTTTCAAATTCAACAGTTGCAGAAACTCAAACCTGTAGAACAGTTATCATGTTTTTTTTTAATATTTTCACACACAAAACATTCAGAAGGAGAAGAAAGTTCATTATTTTGCCTTTACAATACAGTAACCATCTGCTTACTTTTCACTACAGCCTCTGTTGGGTCAAGGGTGTGTACAAGGAAGACCTCAGCGTAGAGAGTTTTCTTCTCTCTCTTCCATGACACAGCTCCTTGCTGCTCTGCTCTTTTCCTCATGTTCCCTGGCAGAGGCCTCAGCTGCAGCTTTTTGTTCTGATTCTTCAACCTCTTCCTCTCACAGAGAGCAGGCTGTGCTGTGCTGCTCCCCAGACAGCAGTGCAGGAGGGCAGCTGGGCCTCCCCAGGCAGGGAGGTTTGTGTTCGGGACTGTAGAACTGTGAGAGGAAGATGTGTACCTTGAAACTGTAATAAACTCCAGCATCTTCGGCCTCCAGCCTGCTGATTGTGAGTGTGAAATCTGCCCTCACCCACTGCCACTGAACCTGTCAGAGAGATGCCAGAATATTGGTTGGAACCCTCATAAATCACACCCCTTGGAGCCTGGCCTGGCTTGTGCACAACCCAATACAGGTAAGTGTCTCCATCACAATGCAGGAGGCTGTGACTGGACCTGCAGGAGATGGAAGGAGTCTCTCCAGTGGCGACAGACAGAGAGAGTGGGGTCTGGGTCATCAGAACATCTTCCATGGATCCTAAAATGATGAAGGAGAAGTGAAATATCAGGAACCAACATCATGAGCCTTTTTGATAAATTCTGTGTTTTGTCACTGTTAAGTGAAATTAATATTTTTACATTAATGTACAGTAAAGAGTTTTCAAATTTGATATTGCATCCAAGAATTCTAATCAAAGAATCCCTCTAGAATTCATCTGAGCATCCCTGTTTTTCTTTGTGAAATTTTCATCAGAGGACGTGTCCTTAGTTCTTTGGGGACTTTCTTGACTCCCTGATCTAACATCACACACCCATGCTTCAAGTCAGGGCTGCACATTTCACATATGGACAGAAGTCAGCCAGGTGGCAATGGGACTCACCTTTTGACCCAGTGCCCCTCCTCATCTCCCTGTGTCCTTACCAGTGATCCAGACCAGTAGCGGCCACATCGGCTGAATATGGAGCCTCATTTTGTGAAATTTAACTTAAGAGTCCTGATCAGTCAAGGCAAAGTTACAGCCAGCTTTTATCTGAGACTTGCTTGGGAAGTTCCTCCATGGGGACAATATGCAAATTCCCTGGTGGGTGAAGAGGTGCAGAAGGAGTGCAGAGCATGGTGGGAGGCTTCTCATGTGGGCCCAGTGGTATCAAGTGTCCTCTGTGTCGGGGGAATCAATGGAGCTACAGTCCATGCTGTGTGCAGCAGTAGGTACCAGGATCCCTTGGAAAATCAGCATCTGCAGCAGGGGCACCGTGCTCAGGGCTGTGCCCACCCCAGACAGGACTGCAGTCCCCAGGATACAGGGGTGTGCAGATCAGTCTCTGGGAGGGGAAGGCTCATTCCTCTTAGAAAGAAGCAATTCTCACCTCATGAGAACTCATTTTTAGTCCTTTCTACTGTTAGCAGCGTGTAGCAGAGCTGTTAACTCTTCTCATGTGACTCGCTGAACTCTCATCATCTTAGAAACAAATATTAGATATAATCTTCCTTGACCTGGAAATGAAATGACATAGGGCAGCAAACTGAAAAGAATATGATACAGAGAAAAGTATCTGTCTTTTCGTTGGAGATCAGTAACTCTGTTGAAGGCAAGAAGTAAAAGAAAACTAAATATGCCTTATATAGACGATGTGAAATTCTTTGCATTTAGATTTTGAAACTGGTAAATACCTGGTCACGACTGTTCTTTTGTAGATATGTATATCCTTATACACACACACACACACACACACACACACACACACACACACAAAATCACACACACAATCACATAACCCAGATAATAAAATAACCTTTTCATAGCTATCCTTTGTTTTAATAGATGTTAGGCAACTTTCGTCCATAATTTAAAGAGACATTCTCAATGTCAGAATGTCATGATTGAATCCAGTGTTTTAACCTTTCAGGATGATTTGAATCAATGACTGGCATGGTCCTGGAGTTTATCTGAGATGGTCACTGTGGAAAGGGCATCAGTTGGAAACTTCCTCCAAAGCTGTGAGAGGGTAAAGCCATGCTGTCTTTAGTCTATAAGTTCGTGTTATTTGTTATGACAACCCAAGAGGTGCAGGGCACCTCTCACATATTTTGGAAAGTGTGTTAGTGCCAAAATGAGCAAAGGAGGATTCTGTAATGTGTGATTTTTTGTACATGATACACTCTCTGTATGTGCTTATCACCCTCTGTGTGTGTGTGTGTGTGTGTGTGTGTGTGTGTGTGTTCAGGGTTAAACCTGGGACTTTCACACTGAGCTACATCAGTCTTTTCTATTTCTTAGATTTTGAGACTGGGTCTCACTGTGTTTTTCAGTTTCCCAGCTGTGGTTCCATCTCTCTATATTCCTGCTTCAGCCATCTGTGTGCTGGGATTCCAGGTGTGCACCATCTGTCTTAGGTGACTTACCTTGTGAGTGTGTGTGTTCTTTCTAAATAGGGGAAGAGGTTGGAAAGTTCATTTATTGGACCTGTCTGGACTTGTAAGGCCATTTCATCATCTTTCTCACATGAATGAGAAGTAGCAGGTGAAAAGGAAGAAAATAAATTTCAGCTCACCGGAGCAGTCTCAAGGCAAAGTTGTGAAGTTTAACAAAGATGCAGAGGAGACCACAGTTGTTAGCATCAGATTTGGATGCAGTGAGTCAGCTTTCATATTCTTGTCCTTGGAAGTTAGGACATTTTAAGGACCACATGCAGTTTGGCTGTGTTATATTAAAGTATCCCAGCATCTTAGGTGAGACTTACATCAGAGTATAAGAATTTATTTTAATATTTTATATCTAAGAACATAATTATACTAATAATCTTCTGAAAGCAACATTAAAGGTGATAATACATTAGTTCATGTATTTGTTTTCTAATATTATGAGTCTCTGACTTCGTTGTCTATGGCTCTTTCAACAGTGTTCCTGAGCATTCTTGAGCACTTTCTTGCTTGTGTCAGCCTCCAGACAGGTCTTCATCAGGGCACCTCCTCCACAAGGCTACCTGGAACCAGCTTCAGGGTTGGAAGCTCCCAATCTGTCTGAAGCAGACATTTCTGGAGTATAAATCTTTCCTGGTATTGAATATGCCCTAGGGCCTCAGGCATCTTTGATGACAAATAATAAAAATGGGTGGCAAATCTGTCCCTTTCCTGTCTCTTTCCTCTTCTCTCTCATCACTCTCCTGTGTCTTCCTGTCTGCTTTCTGTCTTTGCTGGGCCTCCCCTTCCCTTTTGTTAGTTCTCTCTTTTGTGTGGTTTCTTGGCCCCTTTTATTACCTGGTGACTATTGTTAATCTGAGGAAGCCTGGTGTCACTCTGTAAGACCCACGAACTTTAAATGTATTATTTATTTGAAGCTAAAACTCCCCGCATCACATCTAGTGGCTGTATCTGGGGAGTTTCTAAATTGATCTTTAGGCTGCTTCCTCATCTTGAGACTCCTGCGAGGAAACCCTCACCTGTGGTTTCTGCACCCTGGAGGGCCCTCTCATTCCTCCTCTGTGCCCATTGTTCCTCAGTCTTCACTGATGGCAACATTTCATCTCTCGGAACTTTGTTCAGAGTCGTGACCATTTGTGCACCCTCCTGTCTGCTCTCCTAATGTCGGCACTGTGTAACCTCAGTCAGCACTGCTGATGGATGTGACTCTGCACCCCACATCTTGCTTCTGATCTCCCAGTCTCAGTTAATGAATAGAAAGTGATATGAACAGGGGAAACATTTTGCCCTGGTAGAAAGAATTTTCTACCTAATCCGCTTCATATATGCATTTTAATTTGAAATTCAATGCTTTTTTAGGGGCATAAATATACAACAGGGAAGAAGAGTCTCCCAGCCACACATCATTGTGAAAAACACGGAAGCATCTTAAGGCGCTGTGTATGAGTCATCTCTTCCGAACTTGCTTGTTCTGCCAGTGTGTACTAGAAACACACAGGTGTGTTCAGTGTTGCCCACATAAGAGCAGAGAGTGATGGGAGCTTTGTCATGCAATGTAAATGTTAGGAGTGGATCCGCCAAGATCTTTGTGATTCTGGTATCTCTAGATATCGTGAATAGAATTTGCAAATGTAGATTCTAACAAAATGGAAAATCTCACTTTTCTCTAAAACTGAGTAACAATTTGCCGAGATTACATATTTCTCATTAAAGGGAACGTGAATACTGGGCATCAGGAATATGTAAAACATGCCTTCATGGTACAGGCAACAGCTGTAGTTGTAGTGTGTTCCTGGTGAGGGGAGGTTGCCCTCAGTATGGCACCTGGGAAATTCTGAGGGCATGGACAGTGCCATCACCTGAGTATGGCTGTGGAAACATAGCAGTGCAGTTGTCAAAGAAAATATACCTTAATTCTAAGCAAAATTTACTGAACCTAAACTCCTCTGGAAAAAAAATAATTTTACACTGGGACCTTTGTAGTTTTGTGGTATCTATGACCATCTTGGAAATAATGAAAACAAAATCATGCGTTAGGTAGCACAATTCTTATGTGGGTGAAAATTTTTCTAACACAAAATTAGAAGCTAATTTCTATCTTAGAACTTTACACAGAAACTATGTTTAAGGAACTAAGTGAAAATTTAAAGAATTATTTTACAAAAAGATTTGTGACACTTTCTAATACAAATGGTGGCTGTGCATGGACATCACCTGAGTACAAGACTCACACACGGACTCAGGGTCAGTTGGGCAATTGATGTACTGGACCTGCGAGGTGGTGGCTTTGATGACATCACAGGGGCACAGGCTGGGCTCAAGCTCATTGTTCACACTCACCCTGATGCTGTTTCAGAGCAGACGGGGGTCAAAGCACTGCATCCCACACCCTCCTCTTCCATCTGCAGCTGGAAACTTACCCAACCTGTCAGCTCCATGGTGTTGACCTGGGGCCTGCACATTTCTTCCCTGATGTCAGAGGTGTGTTAATGTGGGTGGGAGATAAGACCAGAGAGGAAGATAGACTATTGAATTTGCATTTGGTGAATTATACGTGATGTTAGGTAAATTAATTTTTCCTGTGCCAAATATTTCTCAAGTGGAAATTACAGCATGTCTGAAAATTTCCTGTGAGAAGTAAATAAATTAGCACATGAAAGTTGCTGAGCATAGAATCTAGGAATGTGCCATGTTCTCAATGAGTTCTTATTCTCCTTGTTCAGGTTCAGTTTAACAGGAACCAGAGCGCTGGCTGATGAGGAGCAGGAACAACAGCAGCAACCACAGGCACCACCAGAGAGAACACCATGGGAAAGACACGGAAAACCAGTACTCTGCTGGTACTGTTGTAAGTTTTCTGTTGCTTTGGAAATGCATCATAGGTGGACTTTAAGCCACCATCTGTGGTCCCCATGTGTGACCTTCTTGGTGGGTGGCTGTGACTGGAGGTTCCTTACCTATTTGTCCCCTTTAACATTCTCCTTAGAGAGACTGCAGATGAAGGAGTTTTCACGATGCTGTTGTCACTCATTTTAATTTTATTGTTATAAACTCCATGACATACACTGCTGTTTATTCAGCAGATAGTAAACAATAAAAGATACTGAATCATAAGGAATTTTTATACATTTATACTTGCAGCTACCATGGTAGATGTGACTTAAAAATTTTGGCCCTCATTTTCTCTGTTTCTGGATAATGTGCACCAGCATTTCCTATACTGTGGAAGCACTGCTAGGGATCGTTTATGTCTTACACACCCCACATTTCCTTCTAATGTCTCATTTTTCTGAGCAGACTTTTAGATTGAAGGTTGTTTCTCAGTAGTTTTAATCTTTTGTTTCTTCTCCTTCTTCCTCCCCTGCCCTTCCCTCCCCACCCCTTTCTCCCTCACTTAGTGCTTCTTTCACATGTGCTCTCCCCAGCCCATCCTTCCCTCATGTGTCTTTCTGTCTCTGTATTTATCCCTTTCAAGTGTGCGCTGTTATTTCCCAGGGTTGGATGGGCTGCTGTTCATAGTGAAGATGCCAATATCTTGTGAATAAAATCCTCCATGTCCTTGGATTCCCTGGTTCCTGGGACAGACTATGGTGAGGCCAGTGAGGCATTTGCCTAGGGTCCAAAACTGAAAAACTGTGCACATCTCTGTTACTTGTATAACAAATGTTAATGCATCCAAAGATGTGCAAAGGAATTGCACTTTCTAGGAAAAAATCAGAATTGTAGGTGAAAACAAGACCTTCCTTGTGAACATATAAATTTCACTAGGGATTGTGACAATATGATTTTGTAAGTGTACTTGGTTTGTGATTTGGATTGTGTTTCTGCCACCAGTTGGTATCAGTGGCTGGGTTGATAGGAGCATTACAAGTGTGTTCTGCAAGATCATTAGAGCCTAGGACACTTGATTTCTGTAGCATAGAGAATTGTTTCTGTGCTGTGCATGCTGTGCTTGGTTGGGGCAGGGGTGTGTGCCAGGGTTAATCCTAAGGACTGCATGATCACTGGATCACTTTAGGAGGACTACAGAAATGATTATTCATGAGTGTTGTGCATGATCCAGTTTCCAATAATAAAATGAAAAAAAATGAAAACATTAAAAGCCTAAAGTTTCCTGAGATATCTGCGGCAATTCTGCTGATGTTGAATTAGGTCTGTCCTAGTCAGGGGTTGTACACAGAGAACAATTTATATCAGGACATGGAGTTTTTATTATTTTTATAACGGTCACCGGAAGTTAACACAGGAGAATGCAGGAAATCTATCCACAACACCAACAATACAGATTATTTAGTCAAGAGTCTAAATCCCATGGCAATGTCCCACATGAGTCCAGATAAAAACCCAGAGCTCAGAACAACGCCTCCCCGAGTCCAACTGCAAGTCCAGAGCCCACAAGAGGGACTCGCACCAGTCTCTTTTACAGATTCGTGCCGCGAAAACCCAAGGGTCAGCGGTGGAAGCCAGAAAGTCTATACCAGCAGGATGAAGGAGCTGTGCTAGTGGGATGAGGGTTCTACACTGGAGCCGAGAAGTCACACTCACATCAAAGAGCAGGGCTGTCCTGAAAGGCACCCCAGGTGTCCTTAGCGACACGGAGGCCCCGAGCTCCTCCAACGACAAGCACAGTCAGGTATGTGCCAAGAAGCAGCGTGACGAGTTCATCCTGGAGAACATGTCTTCCACCCTGGAGCCAGGAATCAATGCTCGATATGAAGACCAAAGCTTCTCCAGGAGAACCAACAGCTCAGACAGCAACTCATAGGAGAACCCAGAATGTCTCCTTAATGCCTCAATCCCTCCCAACACCTCTCTTCTTCTCCACCTATTTATCCTGGCAACACTCTTCAGGTGGAGAATCTTCTCTCACTGCATGCTGATGTAATCCAGCTGGCGTTAAGTTGAGCACCAGTTTTCAAACCATAAGAAGGTCACAGTGTTGTAAGCAAAATATTGTAATAAATAGTTTGAAAGAGGCTGAACAATGTTGCTAGGCACTTGCAGTGTAAGAAGGTGACCAAAAAAGGGAAGCACATGCACACTTCTGTAGCTGAAACCTTCAGTATCTTCCTGCTCAAGGTCCTGTGATCCCACAAATGAAAGGATCCCCAAGGGGAAATTGCATTTGAATGTAACATAGGTTAAGTTTACATTTGAAAACCGAAATATCATTCTACTAATGGTATTTTGACTCTGGGACATGAATCTCTCTTAGTTTCACTCTTTCTTTCTTTCTTTCTTTTTATTTTTATCATAGTAGCCAGTGCTTCTGTGCCTCCCATTGGATTTCTCTTCATCTCTTTGCTTTCCACACCGTGTTACCTTCGGGGTCTCATCTGCTTCCATCTGTTTCTGCTCACTTTCTCCTTTGGAATTGTTCTTCATAACTCAGTGCAGGTCTTGGATCTCCAGAATCCCTCCTGTGCCTCTGGGTTAGGTCATGACCAGCTGGAGTCATGGGACATCTCAAAATTCTAACCTGTTCCCTTCCATGTCCTCAGTCCCCAGGCCACTTGTTGCTGCTTCCCTTCAACTCCCCTGGTCTCACTACATATGTTTTCAAATTTTCTAGTTGCACAGATTCAAACTTTTGGAACACTTATTGTGATTTTTTTTTTACCATTTTCTTACACAGCACATCCAGAAATACAATGAAGTTCATTTGTTTTGTCTTTAAAATACAGTCACCTTCTGCCTACTTTTCGCTACACCATGTGTTGGGTCAAGAGTGTGCACAAGGAGGACCTCAGAGTGGAGAGATTTCTTCTCTCTTTCTCTTCCATGACACAGGTCCTTGCTACTCTGCTATCTTTCTCACTTTCTGTCCCAGGCAGAGGCCTCAGTTGCAACTTGTTGTTCTGGTTGTTCAGCCTCTTCCTCTCACACCTCAGGATGTTCTGTGGTACTCCCAAGACCACAGTGCAGGAGGGCAGCTGGGCCTCCCCTGGCAGGGAAGTTTGTATTTAGGCTTGCATCACTGTGAGAGGCACATGTGTACCTTGATAACTGTAATTAAGTCCAACATCTTCAGGCTGCACCTTGCTGATTTTGAGTTTAAAATCTGTCCCTGAACTACTGCCACTGAACCTCTCTGAGATACCAGAATATTGGTTGGAAGCCTCATAAATCACACCTCTTGGAGCCTGGTCTGGCTTTTGCACAACCCAATGCAAATAAGTGTCTCCATCACTATGCAGAAGGCCCTGACCGGCCCTGCAGGAGATGGAGGTCGTTTCTTCAGTGGTGACTGACAGAGAGAGTGAGGTCTGGGACATCCCAACATCTCCCATGGGTTGTAAAATGGTTAAAGAGAATTGCAATGTCAGGAAACAACATCATGAGCCTTTTTCATAGATTTCTATGTTTTCTCATTATGAAGTGAAATTAATATTTTTATCTTAATCTACAATGAAAAATTTTCAAATTAGAGATTGTGTCCAAGATTTCTAATCCCAAGGATCCCTCTAGAATTCATCTGAGCCAGCCTGTCTTTCTTTGTGGCAATCTTCATCAGAGGCCAGTTCCTCAGACCTTTGGGAATTTTCTTGACTCCCTGATCTAACCTCACTCACCCATGCTTTAAGTTAGGGTGGCACATCTCACATATGGACAGAAGTCAGCTCAGCAGCAGTGGGATGCAGAAACTCACCTTGACAACCAATCCCCCTCCTCACCTCCGTGTGTCCTCACCAGTGATCCAGAGCAGTAGCAGCCCAGGGGCTGACGAGGGAGTCTCATTTTGAGAAATTAAACTGCCGAGTTCTGATCAGTCAAGGCCAAGTTAGAGCCAGCTTTCATCTGAGACTTGCTTGGAAAAGCTTCCCTGGGGACAAAATGCAAATCCCCTGATGGGTGCAGTGGTGCAGAAAGAGTGCAGAGCATGGAGGGAGGCTTCTCATGTGAGCCCAGTGGTATAAAATGTCCTCTGCATTTGGAAGAAACAATTGAGTTACAGTCCATGCTGTGTGCAGCAGTGGGCACAAGGATGCCTTGGAAAATTTGCATCTGCAGCAGGGACACAGTGCTTAGGGCTCTGCCCACCCCAGAAAGTTCTGCAGTCCCCAGGATACAAGGATGTGTGCAGATCAGTCTCTGGGAGGGAATGCTCATGCCTCTTAGCCTCCTGCAAGAGGAGGAAGCAATTCTCCCTTCATGAGAACACATTTTTATTCCTTTCTACTGTTAACAGCACGTAACAGAGCTGGTAAGCCCTTTTGACATCACTGTTTGAACTCTCATCATCCCAGAAACAGGTACTAGATATAACCTTTTCTTTGACCTAGAAATTAAATGTCATAGGAGCATCAAAACCAAATCATGATACAGAGAAAAATATTTGTCTTCTGGTTGGAGATCAGTAACTGTTGAAGGTAAGAAGTAAAAGAAAAAAAAATAAACTATATATATATATATATTTCGATAAATTACTTGTTATTAGATTTTGAAATTGGTAAATACCTGGCAAGCCTGTTCTCTTTTAGATATTTGTATCCTGATACACACACACACACATCCCCCAGTTTTAATTCTTACGCAAAAAAATCTCTTGGTTTTACATAAATGAATGAGACACAATTGATGCTACTTTTTTCTGAATGATCATAATGCAACATTTTCATAGCTACTCTGTTTTAACAGACATTGGGTAACCATGGTCCATAATTTAAAGAGGTATTCTAAATATCAGAATGGCATGATTGAATCCAATGTTCTAACATCTCAGGGCAATTTGACCAATAGTGACATGATCCTAGAGTTTATAAAAATGGTCACAGTGGAAGGTGATTTAACTTGTTTTTTTTAAGTTAAAAAAATAAAGAATATTAAGATAAAAGATGGCATAACAACACAAGTCAGAACAGAACAATTTAAGCAACATAGTGTTTCACCTCAAGATAACCCAGTATAACAGTAGGTACCATAGTGTCCACTTCCTTGAAATATTTGTGTATACCTTCATATACTATAGCAGCAAACATAACAAGACAGTGTAAAACCATTTAAGAGGATGAAAGTATTACAGGGTATTTAAAGCCAACTAACGAATAATGAACAATGGTTTCTATATTACCTACTTGTCTATAAAAAGCTTTGTGTATACTATCACATATACTAAAATCCAGTAAGATACAACATGATAAAACCGATGGAGACAGGAGAGCAAAAGCTTGATGGGACTTCAAAACAAGCTGATATTACATCAGCACTAGCTAATTTAATGTCTTGTTTTCTTCAAAATAGCTGTTCATACTATCACAGACAATAAAATCAAACACCCCAGAATAAAACCATTCCAATTAATGAATGAAAACATTATAAGGCTTCAAAATATAATGGGGAATCATGATTACCACATACTTTTATGTGTTCTTACTATTTCTTACACTAGGTAAATATTCGGTATTTATACATGTGAGTTTGATTTATTTTGCTTATGAGTATGTTCTAAAGCTGTGTCCATTTATTTACAAATACCTTACTGTGATCATTCTTTATAGTTGAGTCTCCATTGTATAAAAATACCACAACTTTTATCCATTCCTCAGTTGATGGACACTTAGGTTGTTTCCAAGATCTGGCTATTACAAACTGTGCTGCTATGAATCTGGGTGCACATATATCACTGTGATATGAAGTCTTCAGTTCTTCAGGGAATTAGCCTAGAAGTGAAATAGCTGGAACAAATGGGACCTCCAATCCCAGCTTTCTGAGAAATCTCCAAACTGACCTCCAAAATGGTTGCAACAGTCTACATTCCCACCAACAGTGCAGGAGAGTTCCTTTTTCCCCACAGCCTCTTCAGCATTTGTTGTTGGTAGTTTTCTTGCTCCTGGCCATTCTATCTGGAGTGAGATGGAATCTCAGTGCGGTTTTAATTTGCATTCCTCTAATAAGTCGTGCTGATGAACATTTTTCATGTATTAATTTGCCATTTGTATTTCTTCATCTGAGAATTGTGTTTTCATCTCAGATGCCCATTATTGGATTGGATCCTTGAATTTTGGGGTCTGATTTTTTTTTTAATTTCTTATATGTTTTAGACAGAAGTCCTTTGTCTGAGGCACAGTATGATAAGTTTTTTTTTCCCAGTTTGTAGGTTTTCGTTTCACTATGCTAGAGATTTATTTTGATGTGCAGAAACTTTTAATAAGACATGAGCCCAGTTGTGATTCTGGGAAGTATTTCCCATGCATTTTGATTCCTGTTCATGAATTCTCTACCTACCCCTATGTCTTCAATGTTTTTACCCACTTTGTTTTCCAATATACTTAGTGTTTCTGTTTTAATATTCATATCTTTGATCCATTTGAATTTTAATTTTATACATGGTGATAGGCATGGGTCTAGTTTTGGTTTTTGGCATATGGAGAGTCAGTTATTTCAGCACCATTTATTAAAGAGACTGTCTTTATTCCAGTGAACATGTTTGGCCCCTTTATCAAAGATAAGGTGGTTGAGTATCTTTGTAGCTGTGGTTGTACCTTCTAATCTATTCCACTGATCTTTAGATTGATTTTTATTGCAGTACCAGGTTGATTTTACTACAGTTGATTTGTAGTATAACTTCAAGTCAGGGATTGTGATGCCTTCTGCCTTGTCTTTGTGGCTTAGAACTGTCCTTGCTCTTCTAGGTCTCTCCTCACTCCAGATGAAAGTTAGGAGTGATTTCTCGAAATCTATGAGGTATATTGATGGTATTTTTATCAGGATTCAGTGAATCTGTATAACAGCTTTGGGAGAATGGCCATTTTCACAATATTTATTCTTCCTATCCATGAGCAAGGGATGTCTTTCCACTTTCTGAGATCCTCTTCATTTTATCTTTTTCAGTTTATTATAATTTTTCCTATGTAGATCTTTCACATCTTTTGTGAAAATAATTCCTAAATATTTCATTTCTTTGGTTGCTAATGTGAAGGGTGTGGCTTCTCTTATTTCTCTCTGTGTGATTTTGTTGTTAGTGTATGGAAATGCTATTGATTTTTGAGTATTGATTTTGTATCCAGCTGCATTTCTAAATTTACCTACTATATCTAGAAATCTTTCAATGGGGTTTTTCATTGGGGTCTTCTATGTAGAGATGCATGTCATCTGCAAAGAATGATACTTTAACTTCTTCTAGGGTTTTAAGTTTTAACTTCCTCAAAAGCTATGAGAGAGTAAATCCAAGCTGTCATTCATCTATAAGGTTATGTAATTTTTTATGACAGCTCTAGAGTTGCTGCATGCCTCTCACACATTTGGGAAAGTGCATTTGTGAAAAGTTACGTAAAGGAGGATTCTGTAATGTGTGCTCTAATTGTCCATAAAATATTCTCTGGATGTGCTTATCCCCCTCTATGTGTGATGGGTGGGTTTTGGCTGTTAAACCTAGAACATTCACACTGAACTACATCATGCATCCTTTGTATCTCTTTGATTCTGAGACTGGGTCTTATATCAGTGTTCAGCTGCCAAGTTTCTGCTCCACTGTTCATTCTCCTGCCTCAACCTCAGTGTGCTGGGCTGACAGTCATTCACTATCTCGTGTGACTTTGTTTTCTGAATGTGTGGGTTCTCTCCAAATAGTCCGAGAGGTTGAAACATTCACTTGTTGGACCTGTGTCATCTCTTAAGGCCTTGATCCTCATCTGTGTCACATGAATAAGTAATAAATGAAATGAAATAAAATAAATTTAGCTCATTGAGGCCATCAGATATCAAAGTTCTAAAGTTTAACACAGATGTAGAGGAGACCACGAGTTGTTAGCATCAGACATTTAGTACACATTGAGCTGTTGTACTAAATTTTTAAAAAACTAAAATAGTTAGTTAAAAGATAGTTACTAGCAAAAATATTTAGTTAAAAGGATAGTTATTAGCAGAATTGTCTTTCTGTTCTGTGCTCATTACCCTAGTAACTACGAAGCACCAACCATTTCGTTATAGATTGACTGCCTGCGATGTTCATATTGTGTCATTTAGTATGTCATTTAGTAACCTGTTTGCTTTGTCAACCTTTGTTCCCTTTGCCAGAAACAAATTATGCTGTGTCAACCATTGTTCCCTTTATGAGAGACAAATGTTCCTGGAATTGGCAGACCAAGGACTATGAATTGACTAACCACCCCCTGTGAAATGCCTGTGACCTCATGCAAAGGGCAACAAAGGCTCACCTTGGTTCTGTTTCTTATCGCTATGTACTTAATGATCAATGAGCTAATCATAAATGAACTATAAAAATCTGTCAAAATTCTAGCGCAGGTGCACAGCTTTGCAAACTCCATCTGCACTGTGCTACTGAGTACCAGCTTAAATAAAGTGTTCTTTTACAGATGTCTTGACCCTCCTTTGTGATTAATATCTTGGGAGCCTTGTTTTAGGGTACAACAGCGTCAGCTTTCATATTCTTGTCCTTGTAAATCAGGACATTTAATAAACCACATGAAGTTGGGCTGTGCTATATTGAAGCATCCCAGCATCGTGGTGAGAGTCACATCAGAGTACAAGAATTTATGGTAATATTTCATAACTAAGACAATAATCATAGCAATAAACTCCTGAAAACAAAAGTAAAGGGGACATCATATTGATTAAATCAAATAATAAATCACAAATTGAATTGTGAATAGTATTTTTCATGATTATAAAGATGATTTGAATGATTTACACTGGGTATAAAAAGGATGGAGATGTTCATTTTACACAGCTGATTAGTTTTATTTTTTCCTTTAGTTTCCTTCATTTTCCAAATAATAACAAGTTTATGATTGATTTCCTCAGTATCTTCCCCTAAGTACCAAATCAGAAGTATGGGAAATGTCCTTTTCCATCTGATATTTTCACTGATACTGAGTTTATCTATTTGAATTTTAGTACCTTGAATCTCTGACTTTGTAATCTACGGCACTTTACATAGCATTTGTGAGCATTCTTGAGGATTTGGCATAGTTGTGTCCTCCTACTGACAGAGTTTCAGGTGGGCACCTCCTCAAGAAGGCTGTGTTTATCCACTTTCAAGACTGAAAACTCCCAATCCTTCTGAAGCAGACTTTGTCGAAATACAGATATATTGGCCATATTGATCTACACTTATTACTTCCAAGAAATCTTATTTGTTTTTAATCTCATCATTTCCCAATGTACTTAGAGCTCTCTTTTTACTGCATAGAAGTTGTGGGAAGGATAATTTCTACTGTCCCTTTGATGTTCACTTCACTCTGAGAGAGCCCTTCTTAGCCAGCTTAGTTTAGCATGCCCAAGAGCCCATGCAGAGTGAGTTGTGGCCCAGGCGGCTGCTGCAGAACTCTTGCCCCGGGTGGAGAATGGAGCTCTGGTTTGCTGCGCTCTTCAGTACTTTCCAGATGAATGTGACAGCAGCTCAGGCAGGTTCAGTGACAAACAACAAAAATTGTGTACCAAATCTGTCCCTTACTTGTGTCTTTTCTCTCCCATCTTCTGCCTCTTCCTCCCTGATTTCTTTGTTTGCTCTTCCTTCATTCCATTTTGTTGGTTCTCTCTTTTGTTTGTTTTCTCCACCCTGTTTCAGTGGAACATGAGCCATCTGGAGAAAGTCCCAATAATTGGCAGCGAACCACTGTGGGGCTTCAGAAAACAGTGGACCCTAAGTGCTCAGTGCTGCAGCGCCTGGTGGGAGGTGGCCACATGAGACGCTTGTGGAGAGGGGAAAGGTCATCCTCGTGCTTTCTCAGAGCTGAAGCAGTTAGCCACTTTGCTTGAGGAGGACACTGCCCTGTGTGGAGACCAGTGGACCCATCACATGTGGCTGGTTGAGGGGCCTGGTTCTGATTATTGTGAGAGTAAGACTGAATAGTAGTTTGTTTCAGTGTAGAAGTCAGTGGTGCATTTGCTTCCTCTGCTTTGTGACACATTTGCAGATGTGCCCTGAGGTACACCTTGGCTCCATCCCTGAGAGTACAGGATGGAGAATTTTGCATGGCTGTGCGCCTACCTGGCCAGCAGGCTGCAAAGCTACATGCATGGCAGCAACTCCATGTGCATGCAGACACACACACACACACACACACACACACACACACACACACACAATCCTTTCCTGGCCTTGCCCAGGGGCAAAGACACAGTAGAGCTCACCTATCAACAGAATCATCTGTTGGTGCGAGAAATACATCTGTCCTAAGCAGGGATTTACCACTGTCCTCACATAAGTTCTAATTCAATATTAGAAAGCCCAGAAAAAATATTTCTTTCATCTAATAGTCTCATCAAGAGAATTTTAGAACTTGATTCATTTGCTCTGCCTTATTATTTTCTTTACTTTGTTTATTTTATTTACTTATATTTAATACGATCTAATATTTTTATCTCTTGTTTTCCATTTCTATTACACATTTTCTTTCTTTTATTGTATTTTTTTATTTTTTATGTGTCCATGCTAAGCTTATTATATTATTAAGCTCTTATTTATTAACTTGTGTCTTTCTTTTTTTAAATTTTATTTAAAGAGTAAAAGAAAAAAAGCAGAGAAAGGGTACAACTTATAAAGATTTACAGAAAAAAATAAACAGTAGGAAATCACAAGTTAATGCATTACATATTGTCATCTTAGAAATAATTGTTCAAGTTACAAAATTAAAGCTTATAAAGTGGACATTCCAACAGTGAGACTGCAAACAGTTCTGTTCAATGATCCAACAAAACTCAGTAATATCATTATCTATCTTATACACTTAAATATACATGCAGTTATATTGTTTAGAGCACTTTCTTTTTCTCTCTTTTGTACAATGACAATTACACATTTTGGGTTTTGTTGGTCCCACAGTTCTTATTACTTTTTTGGAAGAGAGTAGAACCAAATGTGACATAACAGAACAAAGTCAGTCAAATCAAAAGGGTGGACATAATAGATAATGTAAAACCATAATACAAGGTGATCAACAATGGTTACCATAATGCCTCCTGCTATCTCTAATAGAATTGCCTATATCATCAGTTATAATAAAATTGAACAAAACAGTAAAGAACAAAACCAAAACATTGGAGACATTTTGGTCTTCAAAAGTAGATAATAGTCGACCAGAATGGGCATCATAATGAATCCCACTATCTTCACAGCTGTTGCCTAAACTTTCAAACCTGGTACTATCAAGCAAAACAGAATAGAGGAACATCAGTCAAAACAAGATGGTGAGAGCAATACAGGGCTTTAAATCAAGATAATGGAAAGTCAAAGTGGGTTACTATAATATATCCTGCTATTTTTTAATTTATTTTTCCCTTAATTAAAAGGATAAAAATAAAAAAGTAAATAATAAAGTGGAGATTCAGATAAAAGAGGGCATAACAGCAAAACAGCGCAGATCAAAGCATAACCATTTAAGCAAAATAGTGTTTCACCACAAGATAATCCCGTCATAAAAGTAGTTACCATATTGTGTCTTTCCTTGAAATCTTTGAGTATAACTTCATATACTGTAGCATCAAATATATCAAAACAATGTAAAACCATTTAAGAGAATGACAGTATTACAGGGTATTTAGAATCAACTAACAGAAAATGAACAATGGTTTCTGTATAATCTCCTTATGTATAAAAGTTTTTGCCTATACTATCATATATAATAAAATCCAGTAAGATACAACCTGTTTAGACCAATGGAGACAGAAGAACAAAAGCTTGATGAGACTTCAAAACAAGATGATACTAAATCAGTATTACGTATTAAGACCTCATTTTCTCCAAAATAACTGTTCCTATCATCCAATCTTCTCTGCCTCATTTCTGTTGAGCTCTTTTTCTGTCATTAGTTCTCAGTTTGTCTTCTTCATTTTGTTTTCTGCTCCATTCATTGTAGCCTCTCTGCCACTATTTCTGGATTCTTCGTATTTTTCTTTTTTAGAATATCCTGCAATATTCTCTGTAGAGTTGAATTGGTGGTTGCATATTCCCCTAGTTCCTCTTTATCCTGGAAGCACCTTGTTTTTCCATCAATTTCCAGGGATAGTTGTGCAGGATATATCAATCTTGCCTGGAGACTATTATCTTTCAAAGCTTGAATTATTTCCTCCAACGCTCTTCGTGATTTGATGGTTTGTGCCGAGAAGTCTGCTGTAATTCTGATGGGTGTTCCCTTGTTAGTGATCTGTTTCTTTTCTCTGACTGCTTTTAATATTCTGTTCTTGTATTGGATTTCTGGAATTTTAATTATTATATGCCTGGGTGTTGCTCTGTTTGGGTTGTAGGTCCTGTATGGCTGGGATCCTGTATGCTTCATACAACTGAGTATCTTTAACTTTTGCTAAATGAGGAAAATTCTCCTGGATTATTACTATGAGTAGCTTTTGTAGTTCATTTGTTTGTGTCCCTACTTCTTCTTTTATGTTCTTAATTATTAAGTTATAGATCTTCTTATCATCTTCTAGACTTTGTATTATTGCTGTTTGCTTCTTTGTTATTTTTAAGAAGTTTTTCATTTCATGCTCCCATATTACAAATCTGCCCTCCAGTTCAGAAAATCTGTCCTTCGTTTCTTTCAAGCTGTTATGCCAGTTGTTGATAGAGTTTTTAGTTTCCTGGTAATCTCTTTGAACCTGCTTCATGTATTCTATGCTTTCTCTATTTTCTCCATCAAACAATTCTCCCCTCTTTTTCTGTTCTTCCATTCCACCATCTGTTTTTTCTTGGGTGATGCTTAGCACTTCTCTATTCCGCTTATGTCTAGCTTCAGGTCATTAATAACTTCATTCCTGAAGTTGTCTATGAGGCTCTGGAGATAGCGCTTTATATCTATGGGTGCTGTGTCTGCTATTGCCTCTTTGTTAGGATTGGGGGCCCAGGAGCCTTTCTTGTTGCTGCCTCTTCCCATATTCTTTGTTCCTTATATATGCAAGCGTATATAGGAGGCCCAGCTTCCTTCCCTGTCGGCCACAGTCTGATTGAATTGTGCCGGCTAGGTGTTCCTGCCCATCACAGCACACTAAGAAGTTGCAGACCAGGCAGCCTATGCGGGGCCTGCCCCTCCAGGTCAACCTATTGAAGGCTTCACTGCTAGTGTGCACCTCCAAGCACTGGGAGCTGGGTTGTGCTAGCCTACTGAGTCTCAGCCAGCAGCATCACCTAGGCTAGGCACTGCTCACCAATCCCACTTGAGAGGGGGATACATGACTGAAGTCACTGCAGCGCCCTGTTCCCACAAGTCTGCCCGGTCCCAGAATGTCCTCTGTTGGAGTCTGCTAGACCGTGGAAGAATCCCAGTTTCTCTCACTGACCGCAGGTCAATACACAGCTCCCCACCCGTCCTGCTTTCAACTCTGTTCACCAATTCTGTTCTCAGAGCTTTCGCATGTCTC